ATTGGAGGTGCAGGAAAGATTATTTTGTTTTACTTCAAAAATATTCAGAGACTTCATCAGTTTTTATTCCTGACAGAATTCTCTGAGGTGCCAACACTATCTGATGCTCTAAACTGAGGATCAGTGACTTCTCAGAGCAAGAAAACACAACTTTCTGACTTGAAATCTTCTTTAAGGACAGCTAAGATAATCTTCTTTTTGCTTTAGTTTGCTGAAATGGGTGCATATATGTAAGACATATACCATAAGAATAGACAGGCAAAAACCTGGGTCCTACATTTTTGCACTCCAGCTGTCCGGCTGTGCTCTGGAACGCAGCCTGTGGGTGTTGACGATTGAGGGAGCCGTAACCAATTGGAGCAGACAAGCAATGCACACATATCTGGTGGAAGTTCTGGGTTACTAGGGTAACAAAGTAAAACCTTAAAGCCGACTAAACGCACAGATCCAAGGCAGCGGTAGAGCTGCAACTTTTGAGTAGAGAATTGAAAATGAATGACATTGTTCATGGAGTCTAGTTGCTCTAGACAGAACAACCCAATCACCTCTTTCACTTTAAAGGGGGACATATTCTGAAAATATATGATAATCCACTTCAACCTGAGTGTCTACTGACTCACAGAATGTGAAATAAACCCATACAGTCCTTTGTTTGTGGTCTGCATAAGTCTTACAACACAGAGAAAAATGCTCAGTTTCAAATGTGCGCTCCTTGTGATGTCACAGTGGGATTCTGGTAAAAAAAAAAAAAAAAAAATCCCTCCCCTCCCCTGGTATCTCCACCCATGGACTCCAACCCCAGACTACAACAAAAATTATGAGCAGGTCCGCCAGTTTTATTCTCACGACAGAGGAGTGATATCTACGGGGAAAACTCAGGGGGGCTCATTGCATTTAAAGAGACACACACACCAAAACGGAGAGAGCTGGTTTATACAGGGTCACAAACCTCCTCTGGTGCTTCATTCATGTTATATTTTGACCAAAGCACAGCACAGATGTTTCATTTAGACCACAGGGGACTGTTTGAAAAGGTGGAAAAGGGGAATAATATGTCCTCTTTAATAAGGATCACATTCTTTAATAAAGACACTTAAGTGTAGCAGTCTGAGTGTGTCAGAGGCAAAAACAGTTTGTGAATCTGATCTGAAACTTTTAACCAGTGAGGTTAAGCAAGCTAAGCAATACGAGACCAAATACAAAACTTTACAACCCCCCCCCCCCCAAAACGTCACAGTAGGGTTATAAGTTGAGTAGAAAGACCCTTTAAGATACTTTCTGCTGCTTCTGTATTCGAGCACATGTTAATTAAAAGCACCATCTCCACCCGAGTAGTTGATTAAAGCTTTAAAAACTCGTTGAGCAAAGCATGACACGGTTAAGATGTGATTAATGCTCCAAAAGGAAATAATATTTGCTCTTTTAATTTGCCTCTCCGAGTGAGTCGTTTCCAGGAACACACAAACAGGCGGCTTCGTGATAGGTCAGCGAGAAAACACACCCACTCAGCGCCGCAGCGAACCGACAGAACCGCACAACACACACACACACACACACACACACACACACACACACACACACACACACACACACACACACACACACACACACACACGGGGGCCAAAACAGTGAACATGCAGTTCCTAAACAGCCTTCGAGGATGTCAAGTGTGAGCTCACTGAAACAAGTACACACAAAGTATGCACGCACACTCAACCCACTGAGCGCCACTCGTGACTTGATGTCAGACACTTTGAGGCGGAAAACGTGTCGGAGGATTCTGGAGGCTTTTTTTCTTTTGGACTTCATATGAAGAAGTCTTAGATCATTTCTCTGTGACTCAGCTGCAGAGAAATGTTCAAACTACTTTATAGTGATGATTTTCTGTTGTTCATTTGCACAGCACAGCAGGCGCTGATGGGAACAAATGGCGCCCGTACTCACTGGGAGACACTCTCCTAATGGGTCACTTGTTTGCTGACAGCTGGTGGGCGGAGCAGGATCCTCAGATCATCATCGAGCGTTTCTGTTTTAACAAATCTGTTGACTCTCTGTTGAATGAACAAAATGTGAATTTTTAAGAGAAAAATCCACAACACTGAAAAGTATTTAAGGAGAGCTATTCTGCTGATCCATATTTAAAAACAAATATGTGATGTTACCATGGTTACCAGTGTTATTGGTGTAATCCCGGGACGTGGTTTCCTACTGCCTTGAACGAGACTTTACGAGAACTTCACGAGACGAGTCTTTGAAGAACACGCCCACCCGAAAAGCTCACTCAAATTTCCCCTGCGACTGCAGAGAGAGCTGGCCAATCAGAGGAAAGTGGGGTATGAGGAGAGGGCGAGGCCTTAAAGAGACAGTAGCTGAATTGAAGCGTTTCAGGCTGAGGCTAAAATGAGGGGTTTTACTGATGCCAGTATCAGATTAATAGGGAGGTTTTTTTTAGCTACACATCTCGTAAGGCTGCTCAATAAGTTACCCAGAGTGACATCATGAATGGTCAAAGTGAGGATAACAGATCTCCTTTAAGATTAAAGATTCTTGGTCTAGTCTCGGGGCAATCTGGTCTCAGGTATGTCTTGGTCTCCGTTAATGTGGTCTTGACTACAACACTATCATAATGCAATCCCTGTTGCAAACACTTCGGCTCTGATATTATCTGAAGAATCCTGAAGTTGGAAGACGTTTCAGTTGACGATCATAAGAAACCGTTTAGGAGCTCACTTTGAAAGTAAAAGGAAAAGCCCTCTGCATCTTACTGGCTCTCCTTGGATCTCCCTGCAGGCCTCAGATAAACCCCAAAGCATTCAGGGCATTCATATTCTCAAGAGTTACATCACGCTTGCGGTCTGTAAGTGGATCGTGATATATAGTCCTGCTCTCTGTGGGAAAATGAAGGTCGCATGTAAAAGGAAAATCCTCGGTAAAAGTTATACTTCATGTTTTACTACAAGGTCCGAGGAATATTTGTGAGAAATAAACGAGAGAGCGAGAGAGAGCTGTTTGCACACAGGTGATTTTAATTTAAAGTAATTACAAAACACCACGAGAGGAAGCAGTCTCAGAAGAGATAATGCAGATCTCATTGTCCTCCTCTAACTTTGTAGTTTCATTTGATAAAAGAGATCAACACTAACAAGTTGTTTGTATGTAACGCAGGAAGGTTGAAACATTTTTGTCTATGGGGAGATGGGATTATATGCAGGAAGGATTTCTCCTCTGTATTCCTGGCGTTCCTGTTCCTTGCCGCTGAGGTGGAGGTCGGAGCATCCGTGCATGAATGAGGACGGTGGTGGTTGAGGGACGACACAGTCCGATGGTGGATGCTGGGCGTCAGGAACGTCTGGTGGTAGTAGTGCCAGATCACCTCACTGAAGGTTAGAGCCCGGCTTCTGCTGCCGAGACAAGGCCCCCTGGGCTTCAAACACATCGACGAGAAGAGGGGTAGGGGGTCCATAGAAGCAGGCCGACCCCACCAAGAAAAGACTAACTTTTAAGCTTTATTTTTTTGGCTCTTTCTGCCTTTAATGTAGAGATAGGACAGTGGATAGAGTCAGAAATCAGGGAAAGAGAGAGTGGGGAACAACTGGTGGCGCATGGTTAGTGTACGCGGACCATGTATGGAAGCTGTAGACTTCTAAGTGGGCGGCCCAGGTTCAAATCCGACCTGTGGCTCCTTTCCCGCATGACAATCCCCACTCTGTCTCCCTGATTTCCGACTCTATCCACAGTCCTATCTCTCAAATAAAGGCACAAAAAGCCCAAAAATGAATCTTAAAAAAAAAGACAGGGGTCTCTTCTGACGTATCTAGTTTGAAAATGAAGTCGAGGTCATGTCCTAGCTGGGCTCCTTGTTTGTGGAGCAGGATGTGCAGTTTGTCTAATTTACAGAAGAACTACATAGCCAGAGTGCTTTCTGCACAAGGGTAACAACAGAGTCCCACTCATTTAGAACGAGCCTCATTAATTATCACTTCCAACATGTTCAGGTTCAGGAAACCTCTCCGACTCCTCCATTTGAGTAAAGACATGCAGAACAATACGGGCTTTATGGTGCTACTTCTGCAGGCTCTGGTGAATAAAGCAGCCAATGTCAGGCTGTAATGGCTCGCTGTCATTTCTGCCATCTGCCGTCTCTGCGGACCCAAAGTGACGTTCAGGTAGGACTCAAAATAGCCGACGCAAAACGGCTTAACAGATGGAGAAGAGAAGTGTTAAGAGGAAAGTGAAGGGAAATAAATCTTAAGGATGTGACCACAACTAAAGGAGCAGTTACACACAGCTATGTTTAGTATTAAAAAGTCCCAAGAATGATGATGTAGTACTGAGTATCAAGCTCGCCAGCCCAGAGTCATACCTCCTTTCTTGACCTCTGGGTAAACTGAACTGAATAGAGGGCATCAATACTTAATTTTTGTTGATAAATTACTGAATGTTCTGTATCCGTACCTTTAAATATGTAAATGAGCTGTGTCTGACCACGCCCCCTCTCTGGAAGGGCTTTGGTGGTCTCGGGCTTTCTCTTTCCATGTCCTATTGTTTACGGTGAGAAGGCAGACTCAGAGGGCAGAACAAACACCTAGCTGTGGGAGTGTCACCCACCTGGGGAGGGGTTACTGCCCTTTGTGATGTCATGAAGGGGAAATCTCCAAACAGCCTGTTTGAGCACACATTTTCTGAAAAGTGGAGCAGGCAGAAGACGGAGAGGATGGAAGTTTCTCATCATCAAAAAGATCCAAAAAAAAAAATGGGTCTTTGATCCCTCAGTGCATGAAAGTCAACGTTCATCTTCTCGTTGTCTTTTTTGTTAAAGTTCATGAATATTCTGCTCGTCATTTTCACCATCCATCATCACTCCAACAGTTTTTCTTGTTCTGTGATGTGTAAGTGTTTGTAAGTCTGAGATTGCACAATATAAGTGAACCGCTGCCTTTCTTTGTGTATGTGCCTTTACGCGTATCCTTGTGTGCGTGTGCGTGTTCGTACCACTGTAGGAAGTTGGCTAAGAAGCAGAAGGAGACGGCAAGCAGCTCCACCCAGCAGAGGGAGATGGGGCCGGTCAGCACGGCCGATAAGAGCACCACTAAAGTCAGCACGCTGCACAAAGATGACCCGTTCTCCACCTCCAACCAGGACCTCAACGGATTCAGTGAGTGGGAAACCCTCTGTTTGTTCTCGTCTTTTTTTTAATTACCAATACATCGCTATTGGCTGTTGTAGACATCAATCAATCATCAACCAGTATCCTCGACTCGTGGAAGTGTTCTTGGTTTGCAGCAAAACGCGTTCCTATGTGATAACTAGTGGTGAAACGCCAACGCCTTATTCCATGTGATTAATCTAGAGACCATAACAAATAGTTTTCATAAAAAGTTAATCATTCCATTTTCCCGCTTCCCGCATAGTTACAGGGAGCGTCATCCACTTTAGTTATCCTTCAGAAACGATGATAATAAACCGTGATGATGACTCAGACAGCTTTTCTTTTACAAGAGCGCCGTAACTAAGCTCAGCCGTCCTTAAATATTTGTACATTCATTCCACGACGGCGTCCTGTTGGTGTACCAGTCTGTAAATCCACATTGTGTTTCAGCGTTACAGAAGCACATGTGGCTCTCTTCCTGCTGTTTTTAATTCGGACTTTAAAGGACGTAGCTTAAAGGAAGAATGTGCGACTTTTTGATCTAGTAGATGTCGCCCTTGAGCAGCAGCATGAAACAGCTGTTTGGCCACGCCTCCTCCATACTGAAGCCTCCGCTCTCCTGCAGAGACACACCTCCAACCCCTCTACACTCACATTCACAAGGAGTTATAAATAAGAACGCACCATAATTAAGCACCATTAAGCACAATCGGCGGACAAAATTGTCCTTTTCTCGAGCTGTAATCCCCCGTGGTCGGCGTTGTTGTGCTAATGTTAGCGTTCTTCAGTTAACTCGTAGCTTCATATTGCATGTAAAATGACACAGAATGAGCGTGATCTAAAAACTCGTACTAACATCCAAATAATCAGTGAGTAGGCTGTGTTATTTATCTGTAAAATTTGCACTTTCCTTTAAAAAATAGATATGTTGGTCATGTTTCTCTCCCCATTGTCTCCTCTCCAAAATACGTTATGCTTTGTCTGGGCCATTAGTCATTTTGTCAGATTCATTTATTCCTGACACTGGACAACTTAATTTATAACAAAGCTCTCCATATGCTCTTTTTTCTTTTTTTCTTTTACCATGATCAGCAGTATGTCACTCTGCTTCACTTGCTTCCATCTTTTTTAATGTCGTTGTAACCATTCTCGGTGTTCAGTATTTCACATCTTAGAAAAGTCTCACTGCATTTCCATGTGGGTGCAGATTCCCATCTCTTTTTTCAAAGTGTGTGTGTGTGTGTGTGTGTGTGTGTGTGTGTGTGTGTGTGTGTGTGTGTGTGTGTGTGTGTGTGTGTGTGTGGGTCCGGGTAATTAGACAGGGCCTCTCAGAAGGGCATTTTTCTCCTGAAAATGTCAGGCTGGCCTTTTGGGAGTGCTTGGCCGCTGAAAGCCAGGGGTGCTGGAGAGGGACTAAGTAGCCAGACTAATGCCAGCCGTAATTGCCTGCACTCTTCCTCTAACTGACCGTCCGCGATTCTCATGTGCCATAATGTTTTTGCATCAGAAACACTCAGAGGAGAATGCTTTTATCTGGGCCTCAGATGTACAAAAAGCTCTGTATTTAAAACATTACATTTTTCTTCGCCTTCAGGCGTTTGCACAAAAAGAGATGAGGCTTCATTGATCTCGCCTCAGTTGTTGATTTACCGATAAATATCAAACATTTGGGTCTTTCTTGACTTCCTATTTCCACCTAGAACCAATGCCTTTGAGTCTTTATACAACTTTATGATTTATGAAGTGATCTGAAAAGTGGAGCCCATACCGAAGTGCCTGAAAACTGCATTCCCCCTTTTGGCCAGCAGGAGGCAACTCCACATCTGGCCTCTTCAACTTGCACTGCTTGTGTATGCAATCAGGAGAGACTTAAGTCATTATTTAACAGTTTAGGAAAAGATAAATGCAAAGTTTTTGGAGATTAGACTCCGTCATGATGACGCGTCAGCTTCTAAGGCTTTCCCTTTTTTAGTGAGTGCAGCCTGTATGGTCCGTTTAATGTCACTGCATCGCCCCTCTCAGATGCACAACCAGCCCGCCCTAACGGGGGCTTTCCTGGTTCTCCAGATTAGCCACTCTGGGCTTGAGTACGCTCATAAAATCAGTATATACCGATGAGATAGAGCAGTGTCCTTTCCGGAACAATGGATGAGACATTCTTTTTTCCATCCATCATATCAAGTTGTCAAAACAAGATTGGATGTCTGCAACTTTTTGAAATTACAAACTTCAAATCAAACATCCCTGAAATCAAAGTCAAACTGATTCGGATGGCTCAAAGCAAGGTCAACTCATCTCCGCCTTGAAGAGGAAAAAACAATCCATAACTTTTGAAATAACCATTACATCAAGTTATATCAAGAAGACAGCTACCTCTCTTATTTCCAAATAATCCAAACTACATCCAAGTAAGGAGCGTTTAAAGAAGGCGAAGGTGATACCTCTCCAGGTCTGAGCCTCGACACTCCCGGGCCGAAAATGAGTCGCGCTCCAACGAAAAAAAAAAAATCAAATCTGTCACTTTGTTCACTCTGATTAGTTTGTCCTCTCAAGATTCATGACAATTAGTTTGAAAAAAATCGGGCCCATAAGCCATTTTCCTTTTCTTTTTCAAGTCCTCTGTTATCTCACACACACACACACACACACACACACACACACACACGCGCGCGCGCGCACACAGACACGGTCACAGATCCAGTATCGGTCTTAATGAGAGCGGGAAAAATGCTGACACAAGGTAGAGGACCCAATAAAATTCCAGCGGCCGGCCCCCTCGCAGAGCAAATAACCTTTGTGTGTTATTGCATTCTCACCCAGTCACCAGTTATCTTCACAGGACTTTGCTGTCAAAGCAGATTTCTGTTGGTATGCAGGTACACTCCTCGCTGTATTAAAGTTGAGCTCCTTTTTCGCGGCGCATTAGCATACGGCGCCTGCACGCATGAGACGAGGGGGATTTTATCGCGGAGGAGGAGAAAATATGTTTGGAGGTTTTAAGCAGAGGGGAGCAGAGAGGGAGAGGGGAGGAGGAAAGAGAGGACATCGAAGATAAAAATTGAAATGATGCGCTGGAGGGAAATTGAGCTATTGTGCCAGCAAACAGAATTTGAATGAGGATTATGTTTTTTTTGGGGGGGGGGCTTCTACACGTTAATTTTCACATCAGGACGTTATCATCACACTCCTTTTTAAGACATTAGTGAAATTACAAACACCGGATGAGGTCTGTGTCGGCCTTTATGCTGCCATTTATTTTTACATTGTGTTTGAAGGAGAAGCCTCCCAGCTTGTTTTAGAGAGAGAGACAAGAGAGCAGAGCTAACTCTCCTTCTACTGTATGACGCTGAAATAAAAAACATGGGATTTATTTGTGACAGAAAGCGACACAGGTATCAATGTCAGATGACGCGTCAGCTTCTAAGCTGAGTCTGAGGTACAGAACAGTCGACGGAAGCTGCAAACTGAAAAAAAAAAATGCACAATTTCCCATTAAGTCAATCTGATTGGATGAATAAACTTTGACACTTTGATTTTTCAGAGAGGAGTTGGTGGTGAGTTGAGAACCACTGGTCTACAGGCCCCGTGTCCACCTTTTCTGACGGAAAAAACTGCTGGCTGTGCGCGCGTTAGCGCCCTGTCTCCATGACAACAGTCTGTCAACAACGGCCGCTGTACCTTTTCCTGCATGTTTTATATTTGAGATCGTTAATTTCCCGATCAACACGGCGCGAGGAGGATTGTGGGTACAGGACACGATCTGTAGGCGGGGAATATCAAACATTTGGAAAACAGCGCCAGTGACGTCAACATCGCCTTTCTGAAAAGTTGAAAGATTTTCTACTTAAGCGCTCGGAGGAGACCTCACTAAGCGTTTCTAGGTTGTGTGACGTTGTCTGAAACGACCGATGTTGTTCTCTTATAAGTGAAGGTATTTCCTATGAGGTCGTTGAACGCTCGAGGGGGCGCTCGGCGAACTGTGTCAGTGGGACAATAAATGCAACTCTGCCACTTTCCAGTCCAACGACCGAGCTCCGTTTGATTGATGGCGTTAAAAGCTCGGTGTCTGTGTCCAGACTGGAGAGTATTGATCGTGTCGTACATGTCAACTGGAAAACACTCAGATTTAGTCACTTTTGCACTTTTCTGCACCATTAGCTCTCCCCATTGTTTGCACTAATCGTCCGTCATGCACACAAAAGTTAAATCATGTTATGGTATGTATCAGGAGCATGTCGCGTTTCAGAGTGTGCTCGTCCAGACGGAACAACTTTTTTATGTTTCAAAATTCAATACGTGCAGCATGGCCGGTGCCATTAGTGTTATTGGATTGTTCCTCGTGCTGTTGAATATGGAGTATTGATCCGCCTTTGTTTGCATTGTTAATTGTGTCCTCTGGTGATTGATTGTTGGGTTTGTTTTAGAGAAGTTTACTGACCAAGCCCACCTCTGTGTGTGTCTCTCTCCCCGCTCCCTCGCCCCTCCATCTTGTACTTTTCTTCCCCTGCGTGGTACCTCATTTCATCTCTTGTATTTTCATCTTCTCCTCTCTCTCTCTCTCTCTCTCTCTCCTCGCTTTGTTTAATATTCTCTCTCGCCATATTTCCTCATCTTCCTCCCGTTATTTTCACCCATATCTCACCGTCCACCCTCCTCCCGTTTCCCGTTAATCCTGTCCCACACCTCCCGCGTCCTTTTTCCCTCCCATTGTCCACCTCCTCTTCCCGTGTTTCCTCGTCCTCTCACTCACCTTCTTCTCACCTCTCTTGTCTCCTCTGCAGCCTCCCCCTCTCCGTGCTCCTTCTCTGTGCAGGGAAGCAAGACGCTGCAGAGCAAATCCCTGCTGAATTCCTACTACTCAGGTACACACCTACTGTAAAACACACACACACACACACACACACACACACACACACTTAACGTGCACACATCGTCTCCGAAGATGCTTCAGGCAATGATTCAGCGGCTGCAGAGGCCGTAGTTCTGTCTGCAGCTGAAACTGGACGAACTAGACCCAACAACGACCCTGACACTCAAAGTGTGTGCAGTCTTGAAGCTGCTGCTATTGAAAAGTGATTTTTAAACCTTTGTAACATATTTATGGAGTGCTCCAGTGAAGCTCCAGCCGGCTGTCATGGCGCCAACATTTTCTTTGAGGGCAAGAGTCCAACATATGTCCACTTAAACTTCTTTCTCTCTGTCCCTGATGGGCTCAGATTGTTATTCTAAATGTGTCTGACAACATTACAGAAAGGATCCCTGCAGAGAGAGAGACCTTTTGTTTTCAGAGCACAATGCAAACAGCTCTCTGTAAAACAAAAAACGCCGACTACGTTGAGCAGAACTTTTCTTTTACAAGAAATGCTGGTAGAATAAATGTGTTATTTTTTTTATTTTTTTGCATTGCATGATTTTTGTTAGAGCCTTTCAGATAGGATGCAGTCCCGCTCTCAAACCCGTTCATTGTCTATGTGTTGCGCGGCGCAAGAGAGTTTCTGTGCTGGTCCCGCTTTGCCGTCCCTGTGCACTGCGCAGAAGTCGAAACATTTTCAACTCGTCACAGCGCTCTGTGGTGTCCCCTCTGCACGTCCAATAGGAGGGAAGGATCAGATCACAACAAAGAGAACTAAACTCCTCCCACATCCTGTCGTGCTCCGAGGATCTCATGAACACACACCCTCTTTTTCTTCTTCTCTGCTGCTCGTCTCCTCCTCCTCAGCAGGAGAAAGGTCGGTTCCTTTCCCAAACTATTTCCCCAACTTTCGTTTCGGTCACCTGGCAACTTGCTCCGTTAATTTGCGTGCGTGTGCGCCCCCCCCCCCCCCGATCTGCACCCTACCCCGCAGCGCACACCGCATCCTACCTGAAAGGTCCTTTAGAACAACAATCCAAACAACAACTTTTAGTCAACCTACTTCAGTCAGGCACATTTGCCCTGAAAGATTCGGTTTGGAGGATACAGAGTGATGCATTATTCTCAAACTTTTTGTCCCTTTAAGTCACTTATGTAAACAAAGATGTCAGCCTTCAAATGATTTGTGTGTAACTTATCCCATCTGTTTGACTCGAGTCCCTGTTAGCCTGTGTTTTGACTGTAAATATGTTGGTCTCTATTGGCCCTCTTTCTGTGTCTGCAGTGTCCAAAGAGCCGGTCCCTGCCACCACCTCAATAGGTAAGTCAAAACTGTTTCATCTGAATTTAATTATTTTTGATGTATCCTCTATATTCTGTCTTATCTCTGTTGAGTTTAATTACAAAAGTGAAGCAAAGGTCACAAAAAGACAAAGTTTCAAGCATAAAGGTGCACACAATGTCAGAGACACACATGAAGGCTAATGCACTTAGAGTCACGAGTCCACACACACACACACACACACACACACACACACACACACACACATAAGGAAGTGCACACAGTTTGCGGATGGGCAGAACGAAATGTCAGAACCATTTTCCAGAAGCTTCTTTCTCTTCATTTATCCTCCTTCTCTCCCGTCTGTTGGCCAGATTGAGCCGCTCTCTGCCAACGAGGCTCTGACTGCTGCCAGAGTTTGACATGTACTGACCGCCTCACACAGTCACTCACACACACACACACAACACACACACACACACACACACACACACACTCACAGAGGGAGGCATAAGTGCTGTATGACATTTGTCTGCCACTCTCCTTTATGACAGTGTTTTTTGTTTCCTGTGATCATACTCATCTGCCGTCACCTCCTCGTCTTCCTGCCACACCTCTTCTCATCCATCTTCTTCTTCTTCTTCTTCTTCTTCCTCCACTCAGCTCATTCTTTTCTGATCCATTTCTCCCAAACACATCACCACTTTAGCCTGATGAAAGCCTGATGAAAGCTGTTTAAATCCCTTCATGATTTCTTCAGATTCTTTGTTGTCATCAGAAAGTTTCTAACCATGTGCTGCATGAACGATATTTCACATTTTGTGCAAGACATCTTTGAAAGCTTTACAGTAAGGCAAGTAATTGCATGTTTTGACAACAGTGCCCAATTATCAGTGTGCTCACATTTAATCCAAACTATTCCATGGTGTGGAAATCTTCTACTTGTTTCATGTCATGATTTTCGGCGTCATGTCGGCCAACTGATCGTAACCGATTAGCTGTTGAAACTTTTCCATTGGTTGTAAAGATGAGCAATCGCGGACTCCACAGGCCAAAGAAAAGTCACAAAGTTAAAGTCTCAAACCGACTCGTAGGCGACTCTGTCAGCAGTTTACAACTTTTCCCCGCAAAATGGTTTCTTCTGGTTGTCAATCTTTGTTTTTTTTTTTGCTTTCCTGGAAGATCTGTTGGAGCTCAGACACCCCTTGTCAAAACACACAACATGTACCAAAGCAGTGCTTAATTTACAGTATTTCACTGTAAATGGACTTGAGCTTGTATATTTCTTTTCTAGTCCTCTAACAACTCAGAGCGCTTTTACACCGCAGGTCACACCACAGGTCACGGCAGCCACATGTCCGATGTGTCCCTGAGCGAATGTGCATGAATGGATGAGTTAATACTGATGGACTCTTTCCACAGCAGCCTCTACCATCAGGGTGTCAATGTGTAGGTGTGACCTGCGGTGTGAAAGCGCTTTGAGTAGAAGACTAGAAAAGAAATATACAAGCTGAAGTCAATTTACCGTTTACCGTTGATAAGCAATGAAAAAAATATCTAAATGTCTGCCTTTCATTTTTAACAATGCCACTCGACCCTGATGCCCAGTCGGCCATGTTTTCCCCCTTCTTGTTTGTCTGCTTCTTCTTCTCCTTCTCGTGGATATTATTATCTACAGTGTTCATTACATTTTTCTACTTTTCCATTCTGCCGTCGTCTCTTCCTCTCTGTGCTCGTCCCTTCTTTTCACTTGTTTTACCTCGTTTTCATTCTTTAACCGTACCTGATTCTTATCTCACATCCCCCTTGTCTGCTTTTCCTCCACTCCTCTTTTTCCAACTTGAAGCCGAGTATCTTCCAAAGCACTGTCGTAAATCAGCTGAATCACTGTGATACCTGCTGAGCTCATGTGGTAACAGCCCAGGAAACACAGATAGATAAATAGATAGATAGATACTTTATTGATCCCGAGGGAAATTCAAAGCATCCAGTAGCAGGTTACAAGACGTGAAAACATTTGTTACAAATTAAACCACAAAACCGACGCCCTCCTCCCATACAACCCGAAAAAAAAGATTTAAAGAACACCCCTAGATGAAACAAACTTAAACTGTGCAATTGAAAAATAGACTTATACAAGAAATGTACATAACCTGTGCAGGGATAAAAATATATGTGCAATTTAAACAAGAACCTATAAACAGTTGAGGAAAAAAATCTGTAATTAGACCTGAATATAAAAAAATAGTTATATAAAGTGTTGACCTTCTGTTGTGTTGTTTATATATGTACAGCAATGTTTAAAAAGAAGTTATCAAAAAACAGACATTAAATAGCAGTCAGTGCAAACATTAAAGGTGTGGGCAGGCAAAAAACAGGCAAATAACTGTGATAGATATCCACTTTGCTCCAAGTTACTTTGGACAATCGTCAATAGAGTAGGAGGTATTCAGGAAGAGATATCCATGTTTTCCAGACTCATATTCAGGCAGTTTTCACTCGCTGTGCAGGTTTCTTTGCCGCTTGCCGATGCAAATCAAGACACAATGAAGCAGAATGCAAAAGAACGCTCGAGTGATTTGTGCAGCGACACAAATGTGCTGTCGTACATCTTCAGAGAGTGACGTCTGCGTTTTGTTCGACCATCTGTTCGCTCTACAATTAGAAAGAGAGATGTAAAAAAAAAAAAAAAATGTCATCAAGACTGTGTAAATAACTGTTTGGTATTCTCAGCAAATACAGAGAAATGGGAAATCGACTACTAGAGACAAAAATGCATCATGATGAAAGTTATTTTGTTGTTGTATAATTTTGTAAACCATCCCAAGAGCTCTTAGTTTGTCCATCCGTCTGTCCGCCTGACCGTCCATCCCTACTTCCGTTCTCTCATCACTCCCTCACATCATCTCTCAGTTTGACGTCTGCCCAGTCGTCCCTCTCCCTGGCATCAAGTCATCACTCCCCTCGACCACACATTCCTCTTTTACTCTTTCCTTGTTTCATTTTATTCAACCTTTAACTGTAGGTGCAGTTTGAACTTTGAAGCCGGGGATGCACAAAAGTTAGAATCTAGAAGATGTTATGAGCACTGCAGAGACTTGTTTAAAACAGTTTGCATAAAAGCAAAGTTTCATTTCCCAGTTAATAGCCCAGTAAGTGAAGGAATAGAAACCTGCAGTAACTGGTACACCAACCTTAAAACCAGTAAAACAAAAACAGATACCAGATGTGGAGCAAGAGCTCTTAAATAATAAGACAGAGACTATGGCTTGTGAATCAAGGATCTATTTAATGTACTCAGAGTAGTTTGATAGTGGAGGCTGGGTGCCAGGCAGTGGTTGGTTGTGGGACGACACAGTCCGATGGTGGAGGCTGGGTGCCAGGCGGTGGTTGGTTGTGGGACGACACAGTCCGATGGTGGAGGCTGGGTGCCAGGCGGTGGTTGGTTGTTGGGACGACACAGTCCGATGGTGGAGGCTGGGTGTCAGGCGGTGGTTGGTTGTGGGACGACACAGTCCGATGGAGGAGGCTGGGTGTCAGGTGGTGGCTGTTGGGACGACACAGTCCGATGGTGGTGGCTGGGTGTCAGGTGGTGGCTGTTGGGACGACACAGTCCGATGGTGGTGGCTCTCCCCTTCCTCTTTCATTGTCTACATCTCTCATTTACAGATGTAATTCATTCAATCGCCCCGTCTATCCATCCATGCAGTTGTACATACATTATTCACGTTTTAGTACTCCCTCTTCATCCCTCCCTGCAGACCTCCTTTCATACCCTCCTTCCTCCATCTATCCGTCCGTCCATCCATCCATAACCATCATCCTCCGGCATCAGCACTCGGGGCCGTTTGCATGTTATGCTGAGCACTGCGATTATTTTATCGATTGAAGCTGTAAATTAGTGCGCGGAGGGCCTCCAAATTAACCAGCGAGCATTTTTTCCGTCATGATCATCTCCGTCATGATCACCGTCCAAGGCCAACGAGAGAGATAGAGATAGAAAGAGAGAGAGGATGGAATACCAATGTACCAGGAAATAAAACAGAGAGAATATCTGCTGATGCCTTAACAAATATCTTTTTAAAAAATCTGTTTTGTGGTTTTTTTGCTTAGTAAATCTAAACGAAGAAGTCTACCAGATTTGATGCATCCAAGACCCTCGATTAATTGACAACATCTTGAGGTCAGAGTCAGGCGGTCAAACAATCCTCTTCTGCACAATTACCCAAGTCAAATGGTTGCACCTTTTATTTCTTTGATTGCTTGAACTTTATTCAGTCAATCATAGCAAAGCTCGAATTAAAAGATTCTCAACCTGCGTTTTCAAAGCTTTTTATCCCGTTATTGACAGTGAATAGAGTCGAGAGAGAGGGTGAGGTATAACATGTGTGAAAGGAGCCGCAGGTCCAACTCACCCCTGGCCCAGTCCCCCCGTAGGACCATTGCCTCCGTACATGGAGCACACCATAACCACAACGCTACCAGCGTCCACCAACATGCTTTCAGTGCATTTCAGGACAGATCACCAAAATATTACATTTCCTATTCTCCTAGACCAGAGAGCTCGTCTTAGAATCCAACTGACATGCTTCAAAAAGGCACTGAAATCAAACTGTCAGGTCTGAAAATAATCAAATAATAATGACATCGATACGCTGTTGTCAGGAAATTAAAAAAAAAATGCAAAATACCGTGAACAAAATGTACAATTTAAAATCCTTATCCTGGTTCCCGTTGCATCTGATTACTTCATGATATCTGAAGCGGCCTCTGAAGACCGACTGACAGATATTATTTAATGAACGGAGGGAAAACGTGCCAACATTTAGACATGTTCCAAACCTTTCAGGCATTTGAAAATGGATATAGAGGCTGAAAGGTGCAGGAGGGGAGAAAGAGAGAGAGAGCGAGAGAGAGAGAGCAGGGAAGAGAAAGTTATTAAGACGACAGTGAAGAGACGTGCAGATTGAGGGATCAGAGACTGGGAGAAGGAGCACGGGTAAATCCTGTATGCAGTGCAGAGCCGGGTTTAGCTCAAA